CCCGCCCGCTGCCCCCGGCCGGGCGCCCCGAGCCCCAGGCCCGGGCCCGCGGCAAGGGCCGCTGGGCTTGTTCTGGGTTTTTGAACAAGTCAGGCTCAAATCTGAACGTGCCACAGTTGCAAAAGACAGACGGCTTCGCCCTGGTCCTTAAGATCCCGAAGCAGGCAGAAAGTCACGTTCATGCATGATTTCGCTAACGGAGCAAAATGTGCAGGTCCAACCTGTCTAACGTGACTCATCACGACAGGAACGACTTTTACTCCAAGTAGGCTTTGTACCACATTAACTCTTCACTATCCAGTCAACAAAACCCGACAGTTGCTGCAGCTCCACGTGGGCAGCCCCAGAAGCGCCAGCTGGCCCCTGACGGCAAGCAGGTTGGCCGGTATCTAGCTTTCCTTCACTTCTGAAACGTGAGGGACACAACGTTTGGTACGTTCTCAGCAGCCCGCTCTGCTCCGGACTGCAGCTCATTGCCCCAAACAGGCTCGTGCAGAGCGCAAGGAAGCTCTGGGAGGAGGAGGAGGAGACCTCCCTTCTCACTCAGCCTTCCTCTCACACAGCCTGGCATTCGCTTGTGCATTACATGAAAACGTGCAGAAACAGCTGTCTCTAATGAAAAACCTCCACTTCTGGAATCACCATGAGAGTACATAAGGGGCAGCATCATATTCAATCTAATGGTGCCCTCAGTTAATATTTTTCTGCAACATGCAGCTTCCAAAGGAAGTGTTAGAAGAGTTTCTGTACATGGAACAGTGAGAGAAAACATGGGAAACTGCCTCTTAACTGATACCCCTGTGGTGCATTAGGTGTTGAACACGGCTTTACATCCGTTAATTGCCTCCAGTAACATAATCTAACCTAAGTGTCTGGATTCTGCCTGCTTGGATGCTTGCACTTCCATCGTTCAGCTTGTAACAGCACTTGGTGTCCTTGTTCTGCAGAGAGAATCGCAAGAATGCTGTCCCAAAGGAATTTTAATTTGAGCCAAATCCAATTGATTTTGTGCAATCTAATGTGAACAGAAACATTTCCACTCAAAGATTTCCAGTGAAAGAGTTACCCAACAGTGTTTCACTGAAGTGAATAAAACACTGTAGCAGAAGAACGTGAAAGTGGATGTGCAATGAGTGATTTTCATACGCGGCCTACAGGCTTGTCCGCACTGGAAAGTAGCATCGATAAACTTACACCTGCACCGTAAAGCCTACAAAGGTTAGCTCTCAAGGTAGAACATCTGAAGTCAGAATAGCTTTAGAGCATGTTACCTCAAGCCCTTTTCAAAAAAACAAAACAAAACAAAACAAAACATCCAAAACCTAAACTGAAAAAAATGTAAAATATTCATATACTGAAATAACATCCCTTTTAAAAGAATTCTGCATTCAAATTAACTTTACTCTCACTTCTCATGGGAATAAAGAGGGTACTTCCTATGCACGCAAATGCAAAATAACACATACAGAAAGCTAAACAGTTTTTATTTTACTATACAGTAAATTTTAGTATACAGTAAAATAAAACCTGTATTAGTAATGGTATTTTGCCTTTAGTATATCTAACGTGATAAGGTAAGCAAAATGCATTGTCCTTTTAAAATATGCTCTAATAGCAGCATGGACCCAGACAGGAATTTAAAGCAAAATGCTAAATACCTGCTAAAGTCTATTCATACTTCTGTAGTAATTAAGATATTTTCTCCCTGTTTCTTAATGATTTGCTTTTAACAGCAAAATATCAAACTTCGGGTGTTACTGTGCAGTTATTAAGAAGTGTACAGAAATTATAATCCATATCTTATGACATTTCTATATAATTAACTGTAACTATGCACCTATAATTTTCCTTACATAATCAAAATATTTCAAGAACATTAAAAGAGATGATCGGGGGGTCGGCTGCATGATATCACTACCGAGCAAGTGATTAGCATCAGTCAGCAGAACTGCAGAACCAGATAGGAGAGAGTTTGGAAGCCAAATTGTTCAAATGGTTGGAGAAGAACAGATCACTGTGCAGATGCAACAGAGTTTCTCTCCCAAAGGACCTCGAGTATGGGCTTCAGCAGACAGCAGGATACCTTTTGGTTTTGCTGTGCTGCCTCCTGGCAGCGCCCCGTTATCCATGCCACCCTTGCAACTGCAAATGGAAACATTCCCAGGCGATCACTACTGGAGGGCCGCCTATGAACCTGGCCTTCTTTCGCCATGGGCTGGACAGAACACCCACCTTTCTTCCCCTTTTTTAAAAAAAATAGGCTTATGTAAGCAAAATATTATGCTGGCCTTGGAAAATCATGTGCCATTAATATTCCACTTAATATTTGTAGATGCTCAGGATTTGGAAGCATGGCCTATACAGTCCCCTCAGGATGCTTGGTGAAGGGAAGGAGTTGTGCAAGCTGTAGCAAGTCCCCCAGGGAAAAAACACACAACCTTCATAAATACTTTAATTTGAGGGCAATGAATACATTAATCCAAATACACACTAATTAAAAATGAACTTAGTATTCCATTAGGAAATCATGTATTTTTAGCACTTGTTATACAGTCTCTGCATGTACTGAGACCATAAAATTAACTAAATTAAGCTTGTGCCAAGAGGAGGAATTTAGTTGAAGGCTTGTCTTCAGTTATCTCCAGCCGAGCTAGGGGCTATTAAACATGCCCTTTTCTAGTTGTTTCAGATCAGGCTTCCACCTAACAGGCTTTCTGTTTCTGACACATATGTTTGACAAACAAATATAAGCCCAAGAAGATAGCAGCTGAAAGGTGCTGCGGAAAAACTAAATGAGACGGTTCCTTCAAAGCCGATCATGGCAGAGCAAGGAGCCATGGGGGACTTCGAGGGACAGCAAAGAATGAGCCCGGTAGAGCTGGTTCCTGCCAGAGGTTCTGCAGAGAGGCCCCGGGGAGACGTGACTCAGAGCCATCCCTCTGAGTCACAGCTCTTCTCCTACTCCCTTCGTGCTACCCAGCCATAATTTGCTGCTGGACTGTGTCAGATTCACACAACAGGGAACAGGGAATATAAGCACTTTGGTGGAGACATCTTTTAAAATGAGACACACCTCAAAGAACGCAGATAAAGATATTTTCCAAAGAGGAAGACAACACAGGCGGTGTTATCTTGCTCTGCCTTGGTCTGTCACACCAGCGGAGACCACATGCAGGCCCTGTTCCAGTGCAAGAGGAGCCTGGCACGCAGCTCCAGCGTGAGCAGCGTATATGGGCTGAATGATGCAAGATTTTTCCCTCATCCAAGTACATACCCTAAGCAGGAATCTTGCTAAGAGTTCACAAGGAACAAGAATAGAAATGGCAAAATGGGTTTTGGGAGCACAGAGTCTAGGAAAAAGATGATGTTTGCAAACAGTATAACTCTTATGGTAGCATTGTAACGATTCTTTTAGCACTTAGTTTTGGAAAGAAAAGGTAATTCTCATTTGTTGTAGACTACGTGATGCTTTTCACCTTCCAGTCAGGGCCATCAGTAACAGAAAAGGTTACATTGCAGGATGTGCATTCCCCTCCTCTTCTCAGTTATGCCTGAGGCCAAAGAACTTTTTGTTCAAAAAGCATTTTTTTGAACAGTTATTTTTAGCTTACTAAGTACAGCTGTATTAAGAGGAAAGCCGCCTTCGGCCTACACACACAGACAATATTCTTCAAATTCCCAAGCGCAGGAAATGTAACTATGCATTTCCTATTAACCTTACTTTTACCAATAATTTAGTTTCTGCGCACCACTGGCCTCAGCGCATCTGCCTGCTAGGGAAGAAAAAATCAGGCCTGCACTTCATTCTGTTTCCCAAGTGGATGCTGTGCTTTTGTCCAGCATTCATTGCTGGAAACGGCGTATTAGGAACATGAATAAAAACTGGTGATTCACAGGACTTACATCATTGCCTTTGCTTTCATTGGAGGAACCTGGTAATTAATTTGCAGATCTGCTAGTCATGAATTATCAGATTGCACCAGTGACTTACTCCCCAGTTCATGATGACATAAGCAGAACCTGCTGCTAAGTTATTCTGTATTTAACACGGTTTCCTCAATTCCCTGCTGTATTCCATAGGCAGAGGTCCAGATTCTGATCTCAGCTGCCTTCAGGGATGTAAATTGGCAGTTACTCGACTGATGCCAAAAAAGGTACCTGGAAGTTGAGGACTTGACCTTAGGAATGCCTCACACAGTGATCCCTGTCACGACTGCAACACCAAAATCTTGGAGCTGCTGTTGCCCTCCTGGAGGAGCCCCCAGTTCCGTATCCCCAAGTGAGGCAGACCCAAGCCTTTCCATTTGTGCAGACCTGTTGAAACAACTGCTGTTGCAAACAGCAACCACCATGTGATTTGTTCCCACATGTACTTCCTTAGGAAAAGGGAGCATTTTGGCAGCAGATGCCAGAAAAAGTCCTTACTGGAA